TACAGATTCGCTGTACACACGAAAACGCAAGGGCGGCGTTTTCAGATTTATCTACTCTGGGACCCGTCCAAAAGGAGACGCGTTTAACTATATAAGCAAACATTTTGTATCATATAGGCATTTTGTCCACACGTATCCGGTGTTTTGAGAGAGTGAAACAGATATTTTTTGAAACCGGGTCGCAGAGCGGATAAATCTGAAAACGCCGCCCTTGCGTTTTCGTGTGGACAGCGAATCTGTAAATTTTCTGAAACGATGACTTCATCAGCCCACGTCTCGCCCCTAGTCAGACACAAGAACATGAACAAACACTGAACAATTGTCTTTTTATTAACTAACATTAACACAGATTAATAAATGTATTGTTCCATGTTCGTTTGTATACCACGCACAAGGTTTATGCGCATAGTCCAAGTCTTCTTCTCAGTTTTAGTGTATCTCTGTTACAGAATTACAGCGCCACATGCTGGTCTGGCATGTATACTACATCGTTTTGTGACGGTTTTGTGGTTTTGTGTGGACACAGATATTTCTTGAGACGAGGTGAAAAAAAAGATCGGATAGGGAAAGCTCTGGCTTCGTGTGGACTTAGCCTCTGGGACCCGATTTCAAAAAATATCGGTTTCACTCTTCCAAAACGCCGGATCCGTCTGGACGAAATGCCTATATGATACAAAATGTATGCGTATACAGCTAAACGCGTCTCCGTGTGGATGGGGCCTAAAACTTTTGAATAAAAACCTATGGAAGCTAGTATCTCCCATGGAATTAAAAAAATATATAATTGCAACTTAATCTCGCATTTTTGGAATTTGTTTGGAATTCTGAGTTTAGATCTCACAATTCTGACTTGTTTTCTCAGTATTGCAAGATCTAAACTCAGAATTCGGACTTTTTTCTAAATTCCAAGTTTGCATCTCACAATTCTGAGTTTATATCTCGCAATTCTGGCTTTATTTGTTTGTTCGTTCAGCAATGGACCAAAAACGTGACTTTTTTTTGCTAATTTAGTATCTTATATTTCTAACATTTCTTCTCAGAATTGCAAGAAAAAAAGTCAGAATAGTGAGATAAACAGTCGCAATTACCTTTTAAATTTTTTTTTTTCTGTGGCAGAAATGAGCTTCCATTAGAGCCAGTTCTCAAATCCACAGAAAAAAAGAATGCACATGCAGGTCCCTAAGTCATTGTCAGCCAAACCAGATGCGAGCAGAACTGTGAAAACTGACTGAACGCTTGAGTGGAGTGGTTTGTCCCAGAGACAGTGGAGCAAAGAAGCAGTCATTAGTCTTTCAGCGAGTGTGTAGATGTTACCGACCGGCAAGCCAAACGTCTGTGTCAGCGCTATCTGCCTCTCCCTGTGGACAGACACTTTGATTGGACAGACTGAACGCACAAGATGGCACTGGAAAAACATGAGTATACTCTCATATTGTAACAGAGAGAATTAGTTCCAGGTTTTATTCAGTGTTGTCTTTGATTTATCGTCCACTGGAATTGGATCTCAAATATTCCATATTTGAAAATATAGTTAGAGAATTGGAAACCTCAATCCCTGTCATGCAAGATGTGTATGAAATACAGCCTCTCATAAACTGGGGGAGAAATTAACCGATCAATCTTATTTATGGGATCTCGTTCCTCAGACAGAGTGATGATAATTCTCTCCGACTGATCAATCCCATAGCTGCAGCGCAAGCTGATCTCATGGATTCTCTGGGCTGTGGTAAAAGGGCCCTGTATTTAAGAATGAATCAGTGTTTAAGAATGAATCATTCAAGTGAATGAATCACTTCAGTGTGCTGACTCGTTTACAGAAGACCCTTGTGATTGACTGAATAGAGATAATCTAGAGTGAATCTTCTCGAATAAAACATTTGATATAGTATGTCTTTATTCCAATTTTTCTTCCTTAAAATACAATTTCGTACATGACTTTTGTGTCAGTTGATGACAACAATTATGGCTTTGACAAGTGCTTGTGTAAGGGAAGGAACATTTCTAGTGCGCATGTGTGAATCATCTGTGTTCATGCAACCTATGCTGAAAGGGTATGTGTTTGGCTGTGCAATAACTGTTCACGTTAAAACAGAAGTATACGTCGGGCTTTAGAATAGGCCGTGTACTGAAAAATTTCAGGAGTGACAACCACATTTAAATATTGGAGTGAATCCCCTAAATTGCGATGAATGACATCATGGTAACCATATCAATGTTTTGGAGTCTGTCTGCAATTTTTGATCAAAGTAATATTACAGCAAACAAAGACTCGTTAGGCTCGGTGATTTTAACTAAACCATTGTAGACAGAGCCACTGTGTTTTGCACAGTGTCATGTACAAGGGTTGCCATGTCCACGTATTATAAGCAATGCTTATTAAGCAACTTTGGGTTGTTGTTTGGGCTCGACTCATAAAGCTATCCCATTTATGAAGTTATTAAAGTATGCTAGCGCAGGTCATGATATTTTGGCTCATTTCCAAGATAAAGATCTTGGATTATTATGGCCTTTTTCTTATTTGCGGTTTTTCTGGCAAAATCTGGCAACACTAATGAGTCAAAACATGACTTGTTCCCTCTACACAAAAAAACCACATGAACATGAGAGGTTGCATGTTTTTGGCATTTGCATTAGCAAACATGGTTAATAACAGTCAAATCCTTGGTGTCAGAGAAATGGATCTTTATTATGTCACACTGCACTGACATGTTGTTATTCGAAGACACAGTCTTGTATAATAAGACCATGTTTAACGCAAAGTATATCTTTTTTTGTACAAGCCTGCCGTTATAGTCATGTAGTATCAGGGAGACAAATGACATCTATCTCCACTCCTCTTCTCACAGCTGCATCTCTGTCAGTTTGATAGCTACTCTTTTCGTTAGCCCTGTCCAATTTTTCCAGTTTCCATTGACTCTCGCTTTTTCTGTTTCTGACTCACTTTTACTGTTTCCCTCCAGTCTAAACAAACGTGTAAAAAAATTGCATTTCCCCCTTGTATCCTTTGATACGATCATGCTAGCATTTAATACAGTCATCGTCTGCTAATGTCCTACATTATTCCAACTCAACATATTTATTTCCACATCTAATCTCCATCTCAAGTTGATGTCAGCTGTATTTACTTGTGTTGGCCATCGTCCTGGGTGGCAGCGGTGTGAATTACAGCGCCTCGTGACAGACGAAATACACGCCGTGTTTCGCAATTACACTATTTTAATTTGTTATGCTAATTGAGCCATTTAAATGCTTAAGTTACTCCAGCAGTGTGTTTTCCAATACAGCGGGGGACGTTGTTAAAGTAAAGCCAATTTTCAAGTTTGCGAACAATCTCTTCTGTATGTGTGTTTTCCCATTCGACCGGAGATCGAGTCACGATTGCGCTAGCGTTTTGGCCTCGTTTTTGCTGCTTATTTATAAATATCTTTGAGAGGATCCAGATGGCCGTCAGGGTGGGCTTTGCAAGTGCACCCATTTCATGTTGTCAGTACTGTAACAGTTGTGCTGTACCCACTCCCTTTGTATCTTAAATAGCTCTGTGACTTCAAGGGTCCTCGGTTTAAGTTAACGTCTTAAATATTTAAGCAGGCTGTTATGTTACAGCTGAGTGAATTGAAGTCAGCAGCATAAGCAGGAAAGTCATTTACCTCATGATGGATTGTGTCCATATACTGCATTACTCTAATGAAGAGGACTTGTGCATCTGTGTGTGTGTGTGTGTGTGTGTTGCATATACGTTGTGGTGTTAAATGAAGTGTAAAAGCTTACTTAAAGCTGGGTGTGGTTAGAGGTTGCATTAATCTCTCTTTCCTAAGAAACCTTGCACAATCCACTCAGAGAAAAATTCATTTCGTGAACTAAATTAATTATCTGAAGAAAATGTGAATGGCGCAAAACTCATCAACACAAGGCTGGGTTTGTTCTTGTGAGTGGTTGATATGATGATTTGGTGGCTGATCAGTGGTTGCTTTGAGGTTACTAAGGTATTATATTATATATTTTATATAATTCTACTACTCAAAATACCTGGAGCCGGTGGGGCTTGTCATACATTATCAAAATACGTGACCTAAATATGATTTTCATTCACAATAATAAATCCTAAAATTCGGCATTAGTTAGTTAATTAGTGAGTTGTTGACTTGAGAAGAGATGAATCGCTCATCTGAAACGCAAATGAATCATTCAGTGCAGTGTGTGAACTGATTTAACAGGTTCATTGAAAAGAATCAGCTCGTTCATGAATCGGACTCCACTATCGCATCTTGGAGCAAGTGACGATTTCTCCAGTTCAAAATAACGAGGAGTGACATGTTTTTAAGAAATGTAGTGTAGTAAAAAGTACAGTATTATGCTTTATAATGTACTCAAGAAAAAGTAAAATAATAAGAATGCTTCATTACTGTCCACCACTGGTTACTCATGATTATGTTTATTACACTGATTGTGTTTATTGTTGTGCCTGCAGTTCCAAAGAACGATCAGCGAGTCGTGGATAAAGCCAAAATGCCAGTGAAATCCTCAGGCTTACAGCGCTCCAGTTCGGATGCAGGAAAAGAACGTGGCGAGCACAGAAAACCTCCCTCTGGTCTCGTTCGTCCCTCCGCCGGCACGGTTAATTCCTTCGGTTACAAGAAAACCGTTCCAACTACCGGCACCGCCACTGTGCTAACAACTAGTGGAAACACCGTCTCCGAAAACTCTGTGATTGTCAACAAAACTCCTAAAACCTCTGGTATCCCAGTGAAACCCTCTGCCGGCGAGGTGGGTGGAGGACGCAAGACCAGTCTTGATGTGTCGAACTGTGATCAAGGTTTCATGGCTCCGAACGCACGCAACAACATCCAGTATCGTAGTCTCCCGAGACCTGCTAAGTCCAGCACCTTGAGTTTGACGGGAGGACGGCCGGGCGCTCGTCCCGTCAGCAGCAACATGGACGCTGGTCTACAGGGCCTAAAAACAGTGCCCGCCCCGTCCAGACTGAAGGAACCAGGCAGTGTGAAGAGCTTCCATCGGGCCAGTACAGGAGGATGCGCTCCGGTCAACCAGACGGACCGGGAGAAGGAGAAGGCCAAAGCCAAGGCGGTGGCGTCTGATTCTGAGTGTGGCGGAGGCGGCCTGCTAAAGAACGGCACATTGACACCAACACAGAGCACGCTGGAGCCTCCTTCCAGACTACTTGGGCTTCGGCAACCATCCAGCCTGGGCAAATATTCAGAGCTGCCCTCTCCCAACTCTCAGAGGTGAAATGAACCATCTATGCTAATACACCTTTTCAGTGTTATTAATTTTGGTATATTGTGTGTATTTTTGAAATTCTGTGACATTTTGCACTTTTTGGAGAAAAAGCTGGTTAACTGGACTTGCTAACACAAGAAGTTAGAATGACAAGTTAGATGGTCTTTGGCAAACTTCAGACGGGCCTGGACATGTGCTGGCTTGAGCAGGGGGACCTTGCCCATGCTGCAGGATTTTAATCCATGACGGTGTAGTGTGTTACTAATGGTAACCGTTGAGACTGTGGTCCCAGCTCTCTTCAGGTCATTGACCAGGTCCTCCCGTGTAGTTCTAGGCTGATCCCTCACCTTTCTCAGGATCATTGATACTCCACGAGGCGAGATCTTGCATGGAGCCCCAGTCCGAGGGAGATTGACAGTCATCTTGAATTTCTTCCATTTTCTAATAATTGCGCCAACAATTGTTGCCTTCTCACCAAGCTGTTTGCCTATTTTCCTGTAGCCCATCCCAGCCTTGTGCAGGTCTACAATTTTGTCCCTGGTGTCCTTAGACAGCTCTTTGGTCTTGCCCATAGTGGAGAGGTTGGAGTCTGATTGATTGAGTGTGTGGACCGGTGTCTTTTATACAGGTAACAAGTTCAAACAGGTGCAATTAATACAGGTAATGAGTGGAGGATAGGAGGGCTTCTTAAAGACAAACTAACAGGTCTGTGAGAGCTAGAAATCTTGCTGGTTGGTAGGTGATCAAATACTTATTTCATGCAATAAAATGGAAATTAATTATTTAAAAATCATACAATGTGATTTTCTGGATTTTTTTTTTTGATTCTGTCTCTCACAGTTGAGGTGTACCTACGATGAAAATTACAGATCTCTCCATTCTTTGTAAGTGGGAAAACTTGAAAAATCAGCAGTGTATCAAATACTTATTTGCCCCACTGTATATATATATATAAAGAAAGAAATAAACTATTTCCAAAATATTATTTTTTTAAACTAATTTCTAAAACTATTATTTTTATTGAAATAAAGCTGCATTATTTTTATTGAGATAAACCATGACAAAAGCACATAAGATTACTAAAATCTGAACTAAAATTAAAAAGAATACATTTTTCTATTAATAAATTATTCAGATTGTAAGTATGTTGCTACGGTAGAGATGTGCACCCATGATAACCATATATATTACTGATATAACCAATATAATGTAACCATAAAACAAATTATATAACATGCATAGGACTGAAAAAAAAACTCAGTTGTTGTTTAATATTCTTGATGTGATAATTGTAGTGATGTATTTAAATTTCTTTAAAAAAATCCTGATTTTCTTGATTTCAACACTTGGGAAACAAACAAAAAAAAAAGTTTTGAGCACTCTTAAAAACTCTCTTTAATTACAATCAAAGGTTGAAAGGTGGTATTATCTGTACTTACATTTTTTATTATTTAATTTATTTATTCTTTTAAAAATCAGCCATATATCTTCGTATTTTTCATGTGTTTATTTTCGTCATTGACGTTTCTGTTGTGTGAGTTATTTGTGCGTCTGGTTTTGAACTCATCTGTGTATCATGGCATTCACAGGCCCTCCAGTGCCAGATCTCTGCCCAAACCTGCTCACCTGGACAAGGTCAACTCCAACAGCCTGGACTGTGGGATAGTCAGCGTGGAGGACCAGCTTCCTCCCAAAGTGCCGCCCTTCTCCAAATTACAAGAACTATCAGGAATTAGCAGCACAAGCTGTCTGACGCCCAGTCCAGCTCCCATCCTCAACGTCAACTCCTCTGAGTGTTTCTCCAGCGCCACCATGGGCCGAGGGGGCAGCGCTGGCGGCTCTCCCTCGCTCTACCCCCGCCTCTCTGGGCTGCACCGTAGCATGGAGTCCTTGTCTCTGCAGATGAGCGTGTCTCCAGCAGGGGGTGGCATGACGGAGCCCAGGCCCAGACATGAGGACAGAGGGACGGATGGTGGCTGGTCAACAGGAAGCAGGGTCTCGCTCACACTCACAACAGACAGGTGAGGCCTCCTGTCTGTGCTCACTTGAGCTATGCTAGTCTACTCCTAAACACTGTAAAAATTTGCTTACACATTTCAGATTTGAAGGAAAATGGACTAAACATTTTTAATGACTCATGTTCCACTCAGTGTTGTAATTATATTTTTGTCAAAATCAAAAATCAGATCTCCCCCTCATGCTTGATAATTAACATGGAGTAAAAGCCACAAAAACATAACATCATAAACACAATGTAAAAGGAATACTGCTGTAAAAAAGCACCTTATTTGTTTAAAGTGTTTGCAAACAAAATGTTATTGTACTTTTGTTCATATTGCAGTACTTTTAAATGAAAAAGGGGACAATACACTACTTTTGAATTCATAATTGCATTTTGTGCATAACAATGCGATTAATCGCAGACAATCATGTGATTAATTGCGATTAAAAATGTGATCGTTGCCAGCACTAATTATTATATTATATTATGTTATATTATATTATATTTAGAAACAAAAATTAGAAACAAACCAAACGATGTCTTTTATGAATTCATCAGTAACCGTGGTCATTTCCTTTCTCTGGCCTAAACGAACATATTCTGTGGTGTGTTCAAAGCAGCAGCTCATCACTGGGTGTGCCAGTGGAAACATCTAAAAGGAGCTCACTCTTCCTGTTATACCGAGGTTATTTTCACCACAAGGTTCATGTAGCACTCTGCCACACATGGCCTCTCTGTTTTTATGTGGCTTCCTTTATAAAAATCACCACCAAATTTTATTAACGCTTGCTTAGTCATATTAAAACTGGACAATAGCTCACGGCCTTAATCTTGCTCATTATTTATATTGGGCCGCGGTGCAGAGCTAAAGGCTAATGAGGGTCAGGAGCCAGGAAATCCCCGATTTGTTTAATTCACATTGACTTTAATAACGTTTCAATTTAGCAGCTCATCTCCCTTCATCACAGCTCTGAACTCTAGCTCTCTTTATTCGTTTCTTCACTGGGGAGTTATTAATGAAGACTCGGCTATATCTGTTGCACAGAATTGTGTCTAGTGGCCATAAGAGTTTGATGATGTATTCCTCAAAGTCTCACTCAGGGCTGTCCTGTGTGTCCAGAGGAGTCGTTCTTCACAGTGCTGTTTCTCTGCCTGTTAATCTCTCTCATTCTTTCAGAGAGCATTCAGATGGTGAAGCATGTTAGCATGTGGTTACTAGGACTCTAGATACAGTTCACATCGTTTTGACTGTACTAAAGCATAAAAATACCATAATATTAGGGATGTCCCAATCAGGTTTTTTGTGCCCCCGATCCAATCCGAGTCATTGACCGAGTCATTCCATTATTCATATTATTCGCTATTTTTTTACCTCCATTATTCACATACCCCACTGCACAGCACAAATGATGGACTCAGAAAAGGGTAGGTGTGGCCGCTGTTTTAATTTATTTATGTCTAATGCAAAACACTTTTGTATGGTTGTATTCCATTCCATGCTCGGACATTTTTGTTGTGACGTGCCTAAAAATTTCCCCATATAATATAATTCAATGTATACAGAGTTGTGCAGAGAGTAAAAAAAAAAAAATAATAAAATATAACCTTTTCACTTTTATTTAGCCTCTGTACCAACATTTTTGGAGTGTGTTGCAGCCGTCAAAAACAAAATTTGTTCATATTTACAAAATACATTTACATTGGTCAGTGAAAACTTTGCAAATCTTTTCTTTGTACTTTGGTCAATTAAATAAAAGTTAAAGAGAATTAACAAATCACAGATTCTTGATTTGTTTGCATTTTACAAAACATCCCATACACTCTTACACTCTCTTTGTATGTACTGTATATATATATATATATATATATATATATATATATATATATATATATACTGTATATGCACACACTGTATACAGATATTGGCAGACGTAAACATGTTACAATGGTAGACATTGTAAACAGATTATGTGGTCACAGTTATGAATACGGGACTACTGATATAAACTTCTTGTAATTTATATGTACAATAAGCTGAATAATTGCAACATAAAGTGGAGATAAGGTTAGAAAGCACGACGCTCGTGCTTTCAGAATGCCAGTCTGTCAGTCAAGACCAAATCAAGACGCAACCTATAGCAATGCGTTATAACAATGGTGTCTCAGATAGTCTGACGGCAGATTAATGGAACGCTGGAACTGACCTCAATGTTTCTTGTGTGTCACATGCACATTTGAGTGTCTTCTTTTCTTTTTAATGGCGGTAGGCAAACCCACTTAACCCACTTTTGTTTTGGTCTATGTGACTCCGCCCACTGCCAGTTTACCCAGTTGGATTTTTGGTGTCAACCCGACATCCCGGGTTGCCAGTTGGTGGAAAACGCAGCATATTGCAGCCATGGAAGCCAGTAAACAAACTGGTTCAGAGATCGCAGATTCTACCCGAACTAAAACGTTTCGGCACCCATCTAAAAAGCTCTATGACCAGAGGCATATCGTCATTTGTGTTTGTTCCTGTTGCGAGTCCTCAATCTGGCAACCCGTGTGAGCGTCGAGTCTGGGCAGAAACAACTCTCTCCAATGTTTTAAATTTAAGCTAGCTATCAATATTACATACTGCACTTTTAAATGTAAATCTATGCTGTTTTTTCATCTGTTTTGTTGTCTACCAAGCAAGAATCATATGCCAGATCACTTAAAAAAAGTAACAGCACACCTTCCCTCAGTGATTATCAATCAAAGTCATTCTTACCTTACACACCGAAGTTTAATATTTAGCTTCTTGATCTTCTTACAGCACATTTGCACTCGGTTCACATCCACCCGAAAATCAAAGCAGAACAATTGCCTATTATGTTAACACTGTGATTATATCTTTGCTAATAATCCCTCTGACTGAACTACTAATTGCTCATTTTGCTTTACAAATTACTGAGATCTATTTTTGGAGTCTGATCTCTTCATTTCCATGCATAAGCGTCCTGTCATTTGAATAATGCTCTATTTCTCACTTTCTCGTTTCTCTCTTTTTTTTTCTTTCAGCTCACAAAGGGACAGAAATACTCTCCCAAAGAAAGGCTTAAGGTACTTATCATTTCACTTCACCTCTACTGCTTCATGATGGTGCTCCTCTTGATGGGGCAAACGGTTTGATCTGTTGTAGTAAATCCATGAGCTAACGTCACACCCTCATGTCCCATCAGCCAGCACATCTCCTCGCAGGCTGAGGAGGACAGCAAAGAGAGACGTCACTCGCACACTATAGTGAGCCTGACTGAGGCCAACAGCCCGCCGCAGTTCCCTTCACCCATACTGACAGGAAAAACACCACTGAGGGGCATCAGTAAGTGACTGAACACTTCAGAGTCTCAATGACTGAGCATTTCTGGAACATTCTCAAGATGGATAATTGATTATTAAAGGATTAGTTCACTTCTGAAATAAAATGTCCTCATAATTTTCTCACCCCCATGTCATCCAAGATGTTCATGTCTTTCTTTCTTCAGTCGAAAAGAAATTAAGGTTTTTGAGGAAAACATTCCAGGGTTTCTCTATATATAGTGGACTTCAGTGGGGTTCACTGGGTGGAAGGTCCAATTTGCAGCTTCAAAGCGTTCTACACGATCTCAGACGAGGAAGAAGGGTCTTATCTAGCGAAACGATCGGTCATTTTCTAAAAAAATATATACTTTTTAACCTCAAACGCTTGTCTTGTGTAGCTCTGCAATGTGCATGCATACTCTGCGCAGTCCCATTCGAAACAGTTAGGGTAGGTCGAAAAACTCCCATCTCATTTTCTCTTCCAACTTCAAAATCGTCCTACATCGCTGCAGAAGTACCGACCCAGTGTTTACTGGTCAAACGCCCGTTACAGAAAATGGTAAACAGCGATTTGGGTCGGTACTTCTGCAGCGATGTAGGACGATTTTGAAGTTGGAAGAGAAAATGAGATGGGAGTTTTTCGACCTACCCTAACTGTTTCGAATGGGACTGCGCAGAGTATGCATGCACATTGCAGAGCTACACAAGACAAGCGTTTGAGGTTAAAAAGTATATATTTTTTTAGAAAATGACCGATCGTTTCGCTAGATAAGACCCTTCTTCCTCGTCTGGGATCGTGTAGAACGCCTTGAAGCTGCACTGAAGCTGCAATTTGGACCTTCCACCCAGTGAACCCCACTGAAGTCCACTATATGGAGAAAAACCCTGGAATGTTTTCCTCAAAAACCTTAATTTCTTTTCGACTGAAGAAAGAAAGACATGAATATCTTGGATGGGGGTGAGAAAATTATGAGGAAATTTTAATTCAGAAGTTCAGTGATTATCAATCAAAGTCATTCTTACCTTACACACCGAAGTTTAATATTTAGCTTCTTGATCTTCTTACAGCACATTTGCACTCGGTTCACATCCACCCGAAAATCAAAGCAGAACAATTGCCTATTATGTTAACACTGTGATTATATCTTTGCTAATAATCCCTCTGACTGAACTACTAATTGCTCATTTTGCTTTACAAATTACTGAGATCTATTTTTGGAGTCTGATCTCTTCATTTCCATGCATAAGCGTCCTGTCATTTGAATAATGCTCTATTTCTCACTTTCTCGTTTCTCTCTTTTTTTTTCTTTCAGCTCACAAAGGGACAGAAATACTCTCCCAAAGAAAGGCTTAAGGTACTTATCATTTCACTTCACCTCTACTGCTTCATGATGGTGCTCCTCTTGATGGGGCAAACGGTTTGATCTGTTGTAGTAAATCCATGAGCTAACGTCACACCCTCATGTCCCATCAGCCAGCACATCTCCTCGCAGGCTGAGGAGGACAGCAAAGAGAGACGTCACTCGCACACTATAGTGAGCCTGACTGAGGCCAACAGCCCGCCGCAGTTCCCTTCACCCATAAAAAACACCAAAACACCACTGAGGGGCATCAGTAAGTGACTGAACACTTCAGAGTCTCAATGACTGAGCATTTCTGGAAAGATGGATAAACAAATCGTTTTTATATAAAAAAGACTAAAGGATTAGTTCACTTCTGAATTAAATTTTCTCACCCCCATGTCATCCAAGATGTTCATGTCTTTCTTTCTTCAGTCGAAAAGAAATTAAGGTTTTTGAGGAAAACATTCCAGGGTTTCTCTATATATAGTGGACTTCAGTGGGGTTCACTGGGTGGAAGGTCCAATTTGCAGCTTCAAAGCGTTCTACACGATCTCAGACGAGGAAGAAGGGTCTTATCTAGCGAAACGATCGGTCATTTTCTAAAAAAATATATACTTTTTAACCTCAAACGCTTGTCTTGTGTAGCTCTGCAATGTGCATGCATACTCTGCGCAGTCCCATTCGAAACAGTTAGGGTAGGTCGAAAAACTCCCATCTCATTTTCTCTTCCAACTTCAAAATCGTCCTACATCGCTGCAGAAGTACCGACCCAGTGTTTACTGGTCAAACGCCCGTTACAGAAAATGGTAAACAGCGATTTAGGACGATTTAGAACAATTTTGAAGTTGGAGGAGAAAATGAGATGGGAGTTTTTCGATATACCCTGACTGTCATGAACCGGAATGCACAGAGTTCATGCAGAATTAGACAAGACGAGCGTTTGAGGTTAAAAAGCATATCAATTGTAATTTTTTTTAGAAAATGACCGATCGTTTCGCTAGATAAGACCCTTCTTCCTCGTCTGGGATCGTGTAGAACGCCTTGAAGCTGCACTGAAGCTGCAATTTGGACCTTCCACCCAGTGAACCCCACTGAAGTCCACTATATGGAGAAAAACCCTGGAATGTTTTCCTCAAAAACCTTAATTTCTTTTCGACTGAAGAAAGAAAGACATGAATATCTTGGATGGGGGTGAGAAAATTATGAGGAAATTTTAATTCAGAAGTGAACTAATCCTTTAATTTCAGTGAGTTTGATAGCTGTAAAAATGTGGTTTATTTTCAAATTTCTTTTTAACCAAAAATATTCTAAAGAACATATATTTTAAAGACAGGATTAAACAACATTTATTAAACAACTTCGATCATTTTTAAATATATGTATGGGTGAAACAGAATTAACGACTATGTATTCATGAAAATAATTTTTGTATATAAAATACTTATAAATATGTTATAAATAAAAGTTTTTGTAGAAATGTAAAATATAAACATACAACTTTTAGAACACTTTTAACTTTCATAATTATGAGTGAAGCAGAATTAATGGATACTTGTATTTATGAATAAATTATGAATATTTTAATTGGGGTGCTGTGTGTACATTAATGAGGAAAAAAATTAACTTAAATGATTTTAGCAAATGGCTGCAATATAACAAAGAGTGAAAAATTTAAGGGGGTCTGAATACTTTCCGTACCCACTGTATATATACTTTATATATATTTAAAGACAGCATTAAACAACATCTAGAACACATTTAACTTTCATACATTTAAATATGTTAAGCAGAATTAATGGCTTTTTCATGTTATATTTGTATGTTTATTTTATATTTATATTTGCATTTCAAGCATTTGTCTTTGTCTGTGTCAGGCAGTATGCTGGGCACCTTTATCTGTTTTATATCATATATAACCTCTGGCTCTCTCTGCTGTCTGTTATGTGCAGTAGCACCCAGTCCCACCTCAGGAACGCCAAGAATGACCAGATCCAACAGCATCCCCGCTCACGAGGCCAGTTTTGAGCTGTATCAGGCCTCTCCTCTGGGCAGCACATTATCGCTCGCCGAGCGGCCCAAGAGCATGATCCGATCCGGCTCCTTCAGAGACAGAGACGCCGGCGATGACGGTGAGACTCTGGATTGATATGCTACAGTCTACATGGGGAGTACAGATGAAATATCTGGACTGGTAAAGGTTGCAAGTTCGAATCCCACAAGGAGCAAATATATTACCATTATTGCCTTAAGCCTTGAATCAAAATGACTCTAATTGTATGCTAAAACAAAGCTATGGAATCTATATGTGATTCAACAAATGATAAAACAACACAGGATAGGTACGATAAATAATCTGATTTTGCCGAAATGTAGGATTTAGCTACTCAATTGCTTTTAAGCTCACACTTGTGTGTGTTTCTCTCTCTGTGTGTCTCTTTCCACCTGCAGTTCATGGCTCAGTGCTCTCACTGGTGTCTAATGCCTCCTCCAGCTACTCCTCAGTAAGTATCCCAGCACTTTTCTTCCCTCCAGAGCTCCACACACGTGTGTTACGGTGCTAGACTGTCACGAGTCTCGGCTGGAACTGCCCGTCTGCTCCTGCTGATTTATTGAAGCCTCACAGCAGGGAGACTAGAGAAGCTTTCTCTGCTTTCCTTACTGAAAATGGAGCTGCTACTTGAACTGCTGCACATGACTGGCTGCTGATGTGAGCTATAGCTTGGATGAAGGGCAGACTTGTTTTTGTAGGTCCACACCACAGTATAAACAAATCAAAAAAGTCATAGTATTACGATATTTAAAAAAAAAAATGTGTCAAATATGTATTTCATTCACTGATTCACTCATACTTTTATCATACACAGCTGTTTAACCCACATAGTGAAACAATTTACCAATGCTTATTAAAAATGCATTTAATGTCACTACTATTTAGGGCTACACAATTAATTAAATTGGGTCTATTTTCAAATCAAGTCTAATGTATATATATATATATATATATATATATATATATATATATATATATATATATATGAGGGATGTGTATCTCTCATGACTGAGGCT